TATTGTATCCACCGCTTGCGTTCATACCGCACACCGCAAGCCCATATCTGGCGATTTATAGATGCTTGCATTCTTCCTTCTCATTATTTACTGCTTTCCAGTTATTTTTCCAGCTTTACTTAAAAAAGACCTGATAATTCTTAAACGTAGCCTCCGAATGCTCTCTTCAGCTGCCGGTATTTCCCATGTTTTTTAGCTGACATTATTATACAGCGCCACAAACGTATCCTCCGAATGCTCTCTTCAGCTGCCGGTGTTTCCTATGTTTTTTTTAGCTGACGGTCAAGCAATTTGCTGATCGCATCCTTAGTGAGCTCAATCACCCTCTTCACTCTGAACTAATGGCTGCTAAGTCTTCCCGTCCACTGCGTCGAGGCTTCCGTCATTTCTTGCCGTACATCGGCATATCAGCACTCTGTACTCCCATTCCTAGCACGCTATCTCACGTGTGAATAAGCGGAAATTGAGAAGTTGACAGCCGACCTGTCTCCATAATGGATGTGGATATCGTGCAAACCTTTGATTGTGAGCATTCTATGACCATTTACCATGACCCATTACTTACCTTATCCCTTGTTCTCCGTGAATGGATTCATGTTTTGCTGAAAGTTTTTGGGTATTCCCTTCAAAGTAAAGCATTCTCTCTTTCTCTCGTTGACCTTAACTGGACTATTTTGAGTTTCGGTCTCTTTTGTCTAATGACGCACAGGATGACTCCTTCGGCATATATGTATAACAAGCCAGGAGAAATACCAAATGACTAGCGTTTAAATTGATCATCTGTTTAATCGAGAAATATTTGATCTTTGTGGTTGATCAAGCCTGAAATAAGAGGCCTGCTTCCGTCATTTGCCATAGCGGACCTGGTGCGAAGCACAGAATCTAGCCTACTTTGAGGATAATTAGTTACGGATCAAAGATGAGAGCCCTCATAACCATAAAATGTCCAACCTTGCAACGCAGACTACATCCTTGAAGGACAGAAGGGTGTAATCTCACCTAGGATGGAGGAGTTGATAATGTTCTGGGACTCTGCAGCTTCCACAGCCACCCACGGTGCCGGAGGTGGATAGGCAAATGGTGTGGCACCAAAATTGAATCTCAGTTCCGCATTTTTCAGACTGACTGAAGGAAACAGACCGGATGCGCACATGTGAGGCGGAACATCAAAGGCCTTCCCGAAATCCTTCCCTAGTCAACAGAGACGAGAAAAATAAACACGATAATAACTCAAGTTAAGGGAAGATGGCGAGGATAAATAAGGCAGTAGAAAGACTAAAAACAATTCTATGAAACTGGAGGAAATAGGATTACGAATATGGCAAGAGAATTGGAAAAAGAAAACACGAGAGAGGGAAAAGCCAGAAGAAAAAAAACACGACCCCTTACCATTTTTGGACCATTTGATAAGACCATTGTCCAGGTCTAAGTGACAGCCCAGAACGTCGTTTAGACCGAAGGACTCGCCATAGGTGTCAAACTGACGACGGTGCGATTTCTTGCCAGTACCACCGAAACCGAAACTCTCCGCGTCAGTACCGATGTCGTGACTGGCGTGAAGGGTGGACCAGCCAACTCGACAGAGACCGTCGTCGGTTACTTTTGCCTCGAAGTAATACTTGCCTGTCAATAGGTGTCAGAAAGGAAGAAGGATAGGATCAGGGAAGGCAATAAGAAACGTTAAGACGTTAGTCGACGCATACTGCTCAACGAAAAGGGTCTACTAGGACATCGAATGAAACAGAGGAGTAAAAAACGAGCGTATTAATCAAGATAGACCTCAAGATAAGTTTTGAGAAGAAGAAGAAGAAGAAGAAGAAGAAGAATAGAGGAAGGGCTCTGAAAGGACTAGTGAGCGCATACTCAGTCTGTGGGCACGAGGGATAAATGACGACACATGTCCTACTTTTTTAAGCTAGCTCAGTGTCTGAAACCGTAAGAAACAATAACCACGACTGATTGTGAAATAGGAGTTCCATCTCGCAATGGGACAAAGATGAACAACTCACCAACTCCAATATCACACCGTCTCACGGTTTACTAGAGCAGATGTGAAGACTGGACAACAGTAAGATGGCGCCAGAAAATTTAACGTAGGGTTATAGTGTTAGACCATATTTACAGGCTGTTTATCAAGTACCCCGTGGTAAAAAAACCACCGATATATGCAACTGATTGCACGCACACCACCCTAGCAAAGATGTGACGATAAAGTTCCTTATGGCAAAAACGCAAGCGAAAGCTAATGCCAAAAGGTTTTTTTTCGGTGCACAAAAAACTTCCCTTCATACCTTTGGTCGGTAAGAGGTGCCGCAGTTGGGCGCTGATGAGAGTTACACAAGAACGCATATAAATGATTTTTTGGCGATGAGAGGAGGCTCACGAGCAATGGATGGAGAGAACGGGTGTGATGGATATAAGCTCCTTAATTTATGATCAAAAACTCACGACGGCAAAAGACAGGCTAGGACTACTAAATAAACAACAGTAAGATGCTGAGTACGTGGTTCGATGCGGAGGAGACATAAATTCCAAAACTAGCGACGATACGCATCAGTGTCACCTTTCTGGGGGCACAAGTAAGCAAAACCATCTACTGGAGATGTAAAGAGGAAGATGGGAGGAAACTGCCAAAAGGATGGTGATTAATAAGTAGCAAACAGGAAGTCATCAGTCGTAGACCGTTTTGGGTTTACTCGAAAAATGACTAAGGACGGCCTACAAGAACGTTGGGCAGCAGCTCAAAAACAAAATTGATTCCACCGAAAAATCTGATCGGTCAACACCACGCTTATGAACCTCGGATCTCCTCAATCGCAACCATGACGCAATCGCCAGAGAATATGGCACAACGAAAAAATGTATTCGGGTCCTGACGTCAAGTCTTTGTGATTTGATACGATTAGCTGGCAATAGAAAAAAGCCGGAAACGAACATGCACAGCATAGTATCTTTGTCGGCATATAATGACTATTCAAAATATTGTACTCCTTTTCTGAATATGAAACGTGTAAATGGAAAAGGTGAACAATATTTCAAATACTATCTCAGAACATTACGATCGGTAAAATAAATCAACAGATTTTTCGGACTAACCCTTATTTCGGACACCACGAGTGGCGCGCGCTCCGTGCCAACCGGCGGGATCACGACTCTGACACAGAAGGCCATCTGGATCGATTGCGAGGGCCTCAGTTCTGTCGAAAGCATTCAGATGGATGTGTTGGTTCACAGTCGCAACAGGCCCTACTGCTGCTGCTCCTGCTGAATGAGATCCCTACCAAAACATTGCATGAGATGGCAATCAATAAAGTTAGATAGCCTACCGTCTTTCCCGACTCCAAATCCTTGATGGTTTCATAGACAACCTGGATGACAGGAATGCAAAAAGCACCGGTCTTCCCACTGCCAGTCTCTGCTGCCATCAAGACGTCACCACCGCCGAGGATGAGGGGAACTGCCTCACTCTGTATATCCGTAGGTAAGATCCAATCCATTTCTTGAATGGCCTTCGAGACCTCAGGCATGACGCCCATCTCTGAGGCGTGAAAAAAAATAAAGGTTTTGATAGTGCAGTACATTACTGTGTGTGGTTTAGGCCGAAGTGAAAACTTACTACAATCGCCGAAAAATAAGCATGTCATGTATAACTCTTGCCAATATGGAGGAAATAGACGATATGAATTGTGATGGGTTGACAGTGATAACGTAAGTTGAAGAATTCGAGGAGTAAAATTGGGCGTTAGACAACCAGGAATGAAATTTTTCCAGGCGGATTTCCTGATAAGAATTCCAACGTTGTAAGCGACGACGTTCACAATGTGTACCACGGAGAGGAAAAAAATTGGTGGCTTGCGTACCATCGACCACACTCTTTCTATCACTCAGCAGACTCCAATGGCAAGATAATAGCGAGACAACAAAATCTGAGCGCAGTTTCAATCGCGGACAAAGCCCACCTAAGCATGCCCCACACGACCTAGTTCCAACAGCAAGGAAAAGCTCCGATTTCAAGTTCATTTTAGAGCCATAAAGATGCCCTCCTTAAAGACTACGGTTCAATTTTTTGCGCTCCCAGATTCCTGCTGACAGTTGACTAGAGGTTATAGGCTGCTGCGTTCACTAAACACGGTTCAATGAGCAAACTTGGTATTTGGAGGTCTGACTATAGGCCAGAATCTGCGAAGAGGGCACCTTTTCCCCAATATGGAAAACAGGAAACGTAATGTCAGATTTCATGAAGAAGAATGTAGGGAAACGGATTTCACGCACGCCTATGCAATCATGACACACGTCTCTCTGCGATTTGGGCACTCACAGTTTTCACTGTTTAGTTGCATTCGAGACTACACCGGCAGACAAGTCGAAGATATTGGATAGAAAGGGTTAGTAAATTAGTTATATGCGTTTTTGTTGGAAAAGTCGGACGGCAAATGAAGCTGATCAAAACATAAAGGACAATTCAAAATTCCAACCGTGTTTACGGTTATGATAATTCGAGCTAATACCGAGCAGGTCCAGAAGGGTGCTGTCGTAACCTACTCATATTGTTGCCAACACCGTTACTATCCCAAGCGCGCATAAAAAATCGATGTATGATTGAGAGAAAGTGACTCACCTGTTTCAAAAGCAGTACTCATCGTAAACGAGAGTGGGTGCAGTGTCTTGACACAAACAAGGCTCAGAGGCGGATGCAGAACTGCAGACAGAAAGGAATTACAGGTGTTCGGAAGATCTGATAACGGGAACAGGTGATAGGTGCGAGTTTGGGTTCTGCTTGTCGAAAAAAATAAAGACCACTAAAATTACTAAGACATGAAAGACGAAATTGTTTAGTGCAAGAGTAAAGATCACAAAAACAGTGCGCTATGTGGTAGATCGGGGCTGGTGAAGTACAACTAAAGACGCCAAACACTAAATCACTGCAGCTGGCGATTTCCCGCCTGCTTTTTTAACGTGGGAAAACGCGGCGAATATGCTAAGTAATACATTGGGACGGATAAATGAGACTATCTAGAAAAAGTCGCCATGATAACAATTGTATACAGGAAATATATAGTTCCCTATGGCATGCTATATAGATACCAGAAGCCCAATCAAAGCGGAAGAATAACCGTCGAGTATTCACTCAAGAGTCGGTCATACCCGACTTCAGGTGTTGCGGAACTTGAGGCTCGAACCCACGATCTGTTGGTTACTTTAATCAATTAAATTTAAACGAAATCCCTAGAGGGCTACTTACTATCACTTCGACTACGCAAACGGTACTCGGAAAACCTACAAAGGCACAGTCCTCGTTGCGAGTGGTTTTCGAGGGAAGAAATGCTCATAGTGATATGATGTGCACCATACACTTACATCCCCCTCTTTTGGTGCGTTTATAGACAGCACTATGGTTAACTCTCAGCCTAGCCCACCCTCAAAGCCAATATAGGTCGGTTATTAATACAACTATCTACGAACTCGAGTTGTCCGGTCAAGGCCTAAAACAGCTGGTAAGTTACGCAAAATATAATGACGGCTAAAATTCTAGGAAATACTTGAGCACAATCAGGACGGGCAATGCTTCCTACGAAACCATCCCCTGTGAAGAGTGACCTACAGGGGATGGTAAGACGTTAGGTTAAGTTTCATTAAAATAACTTTAGACTTGTTGGGGCCGGCACTCACTGACCGTTACCACACCCCGAAAAGGGTTGTCGTGACGA